GCAGAAAATTTAAAATTTTAGAACATTGTTCTTCAGTTTACTTTTTATATTTGCACAATCATTTTTTCCTCATTTTTTTCTGTTTTTTTTTGTTTATTTGCTCCTGATAAATTTTTTTTTTTTTTGATTTCACTTCTTTGGAATGCTCACTAAATGACAATTTCGCTCAATCAACGGCCAATATTTCCTAAGTAAGCAATTAATTGTTGTCTAATTTCGTTTTATTTGTTTGCTCGTTTGTTGGGCCGCTGTTCATAGAATATCCGTTATGGATGATACACAGCCATTTCTGTGGTAACAGGCAACTGCTGAAGAAGACGACGATGAAGCTAATACGTCTGATAATGAATTTTTAGCAATGCTTTTCAGTGACATAGTGCAGTTAATGGAGGATTGGTGGAGAAGTGACGAACGAAAGTTGATATTGGCAGTCTTGAAGAAGCCTGAAAAGAAAAGAAGAAAGGAAAGCGAAACTTTAATGGGTTTTTGTCTTCAGAGCTAAGCCAATCCTTTTTTGGTCTTTTTGCGTACTTTTTGGAAAATAAACATTGTTTTTTGGAATGTTCATTATATAGTTTCTCTGGTTGAACAACTTGTTTTTTTTTTTTTGACCAGTTTTTCTTAACTTTTCTAAAGGTTACAGTTCGATTATCAAATATTTTTTTGTTCTTCAATTACCGCTGTTTTCTTTTATCTTCTTTCAACTTTTCTTTGTAAAAATAAACTGCAATGAACAGCATATTAGTGAAACAATACAGTGTTGGTGTATTATGATTACGTTATGTTTAGGGTTTTTCCAGTTTCTTAAGAAGTTGTTTTTTGAACCAGATTTTCATACCAAACGGCACCACAACTGTCATTAATCGGTGGACAAGACAAAAGAAAGCAAAGCGGGGGGTGGAGAGAGGGGAAGAAAGAATTAGACCAAAAGCTATGCTGCACAGGTAGATAGAAGGAAGAAAAAAAAAATGATGTTATTTTTAGCAAAATTACAAATAATTTGCTGTTCTTGTTTTTTTTTTTTTTTTAATCTTTCTTTTTCTTTTTTTTGCTGTTACTTCTTTACCGTTTCTTCTTACAGTTTTCACTCATTAAAAAATGAAATTTTTTTGTTATTTTTTTAGCTGTTTTTTTTTTTTTTTGCCTGACTTTTCTCTTACTGTACCTCAAAGGAACTGTGGTCACCAATTGTTTGGTGATATGGTTTTTGAAAAGGGCACTTATCCTGTTCAGATATGTGCCAGTCGTTTAGTTGTTGCATAGATTAGTTTTATTGTTTAAAATTTACAGGTATATCACCAAGATTGGTATCTGTTATAGTTATATCTTAGTTGGTTGGTTAAATCTAAAAAAAAAAAAAAATGTGGCTACTTCTTGACAAATCTCTAATGACGACGGTAATAATGTTGTCGTTGTTGCTGGTTGTTCTCCTTTTTTTTTTTTCCACCGTCGTCGTCGTCGAATAATGCGGTCTCATGTGTTTTTCTGTTGCTTTTTTTTCCACTTTTCTTGACTTACTACGGTAATACATCAATCATCTGAACTTTTGTAACTGTTTTGTTCGTATTTTTGTTGGTCCACCAGTTTGTCGACAAATGTTGGGAATTGTCGGTGAGCTATTTATTTTACTCATTTTTTTTCAAAATACGAATTTTTTGATGCAGAAAATTACTCGTTTTTTTTTCTGCTCTTGCTTTTT